ATGTTGATGAGTCGGGCGACTGTGAGTCCTTTTTTCAAAAACACGAGCGATATTATTTGTCTAACAAGGAAACGATACTCAATGTCCGTGGCTTTTTGAGACGAGATGTACATCATTACACTCGTTTTCGAACGCTGAGTCCAAATCTGACTTCCGTTTCTGCTAATCGTTTCTCTGAAAGAAGTTATGAAGAAATTTCGATTCAAGTTTGGCCGCTTGAGGGAAATTTGGTCATTGGAGGCCTCTACCGCGACCACGTTCTGGTCTAATGTTTAGTGCGATAGCCTCATAAGTTGATGTAGGTTCAAATCCTTTGCGTTTTTACTTTTGCATTACTTTTGCCTCAATTAAGCTTGTTCGAGAAAGCTTACTCGAATTATGATCATTGAATACATTTTAGCGCAAACAGTAGTAATTTTTTCCAAAATTCCACATTTTTTCGAGAGTAAGAGCGTTCACTTAACTTGAGAATGTGAAAGAAGGTTAAGTGAGGCAACGCAAAACTAAAAAACACAAAAGGACTCGAACCTAGCAAACTCCGCGCGACCCATGATAACATCTTTGAAGCGATTAGCAGAAACGGAAGTAGGATTTGGAATCACCGTTCCAAGACGAGTGTAATGGTATACATCTCATTTCAAAAGGCCACGGACACCGAGTATCGTTCCCTTGTAAGGCCCCTTGACGAGAACTCGTATTATTTTAGTTATCATCGCTCTTGTATCAAACCTATTTCCCTTTAGCACAAGCTTATGCATGATATTTTCAGGTGCCAAGTTCAAAAGGTAAGTAAATGTAAAGGCCTAGTTTTCAGTGATAATGCAATGTAGAGGGAGGATGCGATCATGCTGTAGCTCTTACAGAGGAAGGATACTTGGATGCCGTAGCCATTCATAATGATTAGTATACCAAAAAATGCGCTTTTGAATGCTGGTTCGTAGACTGTCTTTCATATCTGCGAAACGATAATCTGAATGGAGTTATGATTTTTTTTTCATTAAAAATTGGTTCCTGCGGAGGGTCACCTTCCTTTCCAAATGCTGAGTACGATCCAGATAGTCTAAATAAATATTACTACGTCTAAAATTTTCTTCAGTAGCATCAAACGGTAGGCTAGATCAAATCTGGTGATTTTTACTATCCAAAAGTAGGCTAAATTTTCAAGGAAAAAAGTTCATAACTTTCTTCAAAAGATCGTTTCGCAGATTTCGAGCACAGATTCAGAATCTGCATTCGAAGGCGCATTTTTTGGTATACAAATCATTAGGAACGGGCGCGGCATCCAACTATCCTTCCCTTGTTAGACATTAAATTCAAATTGCAAAACTTGAGGTTTTTATAATAAAAAGGAAAAGTAGTTGAAGATCGAAATGAGTAAGAACATTAACATGAGAAGTATGAGCATTCAATATGTATGCACAATATTTATAACCTGAGAACAAACATTCTGGCAAACAAGATGATAAAGGAATTAAGAGACTTGGAGATTGTACGCACTCAAAAAGTCAAGAGATCGTCAGCCTCCAAGACAGAGACATGGCTAGAACAATAAACGAACGGTGGACAGAGGCGGAGATGCTGAGCGTTGGTTAAGAGTGTTAGTTTATTACTTAGAGAAGTGGCGCGACCGAAATTCAGATGTATAGTATGTCAAGTAGCCGAGGCGCCTTCCGCAAAAGACCGTTTCAACAAAATAGGTCGTTCTCATAAGGTGTCGGCCTCATTCATGCTCCTCATCGAGTCATTAAGAAGTCAACTCGGAGAATTTGTTTCTTCTATTTATTTGTTTGAATGAGGACACATGCTCTTAGTTAGAAAATACGAGTAAAATATTGTTAGCTACAGTCTTCGAAGTCTTTTATTATTGGGAAGTAGGCAAAGAATTATTTCTCAACTAGCATTAGAATCAATAATAATACTCAAAAGCTATAATTATGACGACTGAGAAAGCAAAAGAAAGCAGCTGTTTGACTTTCTCCCGTGCTATTTGCATGGAAACACCCCAATGGTCTTATCTGACTGCGCAATAACTCGGTCATCATCTATGAAGTTCGATCCTTTCGATTCTTCTCAAGTTGCTTGTCTCACATGCGTGTGCGTGATCCGCTTTTACAAGATTTCCTTAGTTGTTGAAAATAAACGTTACTGTGATACTGGCTGCTATAGGGGGGGGGGGGAGAGAACAAGTACTTGCGAGCTCAGTGCTAACGCAGTTAAGGGTAAATTGCACTGCGGTGCTATGTTTATGGTCACAGAAACCTTTTTTCAATTTCCGTCACCTTCCGAGCCATGGTGCATACCCCCCATTTCCTTAGAGTTTGTGTAATTTCACCCTTCTGGAATCTGAAGTGATATAGAGACCAAAGATGAAAATCAATTCGATTATTAGAACACTGCAAATGCGGAGAGGTATTGTGAAAAAGCGAGGAGCATCGGCTTGTCAGTGCAGACAAAGGTTCTATAATCGTGTAACCACCAAAGAGGACAATTAAAGATCTTAAGTACAAGAAAAAATCTCTATGAAATGTTTTTGCTGCAACAGCTGCGAAATCCGTTTCCGTTTCGACATTCGTATCCACAGTTCTGTCTTTGAGAGATTAAGGTAATTTGGCAGGAGTAAGAGCGATCCAATGAAAAAAGGTCGCGGCTTCTGACGGCGCATACAAGACAAAGGGTTAAGTCTCCCCCCCCCCCTCCCCCTTCCCTACCGCACTGTTCCCTCCGCAACCAGAAAATGTGCTGCAAAATGCTTGAGAATGAATTAGATGATAGAAACATCACTGTAGATGCGTCGATTTACTTATTTCTTCCCTTCCCTCGCTACTCGTGCTAAATCCCTCTTTTTTGAAAGAAGTCGAAGTCTTCAACATTCTCAAAGTTCTTCTTTGTGTCAAACGGCTTGGCCTTTTGATAGGTTCACAGGCCTCAAATGACTTATAATAACCGAACAACTACATGGATATAGAGGAAGAGAAAAAGAAAGGTTAGGCCGTCTTGCTAGCTTTGATTTGACTGCTGTTTGTCAAAGCCAGAAAAATGCTGTCTACGGCGAGGAAACGTATTCCCCTGGATAAGACTTAAAAAGCTAATGGACGGAAGAGTGAAAGAGTAGAAGAGAAAAAGAGTAATATATAATAAAATGATTAAACTATCAATTAACAACTGAGATTGATCTTAGCGCATTCCGACAACACTAACCAACGGTGGATTGCTTACGTTTTCTGAAGCTTTAATCCTGCCAGTTTACGACAATCCCTTTATGGATTTCAACACATGTTGAAGAACTTAGGCTGAGCCTCGGATGGACCGGGATCGCAATACTGCTGTAATGTTACATTAGGATGCCGTTTAGATCAAATTTTTCAGAGAATAAGAGATTATCTTTGGAACACTAGTACTCATATACACGGAGTACGGAAGAGCAAGAAACTCACGTCACCCATCGATAATATTAGGTTGGCCCGAAAGTTCTTTCGCACCAAATTCAAAAATTCATAACGTCCGATTTTTCCGACCGATTTGATCGCTTTTATTTTTGTATGAAAGTTTAAGTCGTGCTCTTTATAAGGACTTCTTAGCTGCTTACTAATGGTCACCTATTGCATAGATAGGAGCGATAGAAGAAAATTGGTCAAAATTCGAATTTTTCGTGTAGGGTCATAAAAAATCGGAAACTTGCAACAAAAATCGAAGCGGTCAGTATTGTAGGCTCTTTCACAAGCTCTTTCCAACAGTGCAAAGTTTGCGCCGATTGAGCGTCTCTGTGAAAAGTTATGAATTCCCTGAAAATGCCAAAATAAATCGAATTCGCCCTTTTGTATTGCATGCTCGAAAATCATAACTTTTTATAGAGGCGCTCAATCAGCGCAAACGTTGCATAGTTAGAAAGAGCAGGTAACAGAACCTATAATAACAGCTGCTCAGATTTTTATTGCAAAATTCAGATTTTTTAAGACCCTACATCGAAAATTCGAATTTTTGATTAATTTTCCTATTCCTATCTATGCAACAGATGATCATTAGTAAGCAGCTAAGAAGTCTTTATAAAGAGCATGACTTACACATTTATACAAAATTAAAAGCGATCAAATCGGTCGAAAAATTCGGACATTATGAATTTTTGAATTTGGTGCGAAAGAACTTTCGGGCCAACCTAATATATTCGTGTTCAGCAAGCGAAGCAAACCATACTATTTTTTGGCGAAAATTCATTCATGTTGTCGACCGGCACCGGATTGTATGAGGCCAAGAATCGAAAAGAATTGAAATGAATGTTGATTTTATGATACTTTTGATGATTGCCAAGGAGTTTTGAATACGTTCAAAGTTTTGAAGACGCTACCATTCCGAAAGATATACAATCTTAGAGTCATAACTTTGACCTGCAAATTATTACTCTGCTATCAAACGATAAAAATTTTAGAAAAAGGCTTGGTCTGAACTACGGAAAAGTAGCTCCGTGTGGAACGAACAGTGGTCGCAGATCCTTTTACATGCTTTATGACCTAGCACAACCAGATAGAATATACTCAAGGGCCCTTGAAGCGGGGAGTGAACCAGAGGTAGAAAACACAACAGCTTTGTTCTTGACCAATTCTGCTTCATAACCGATAGAGGCGCCATGATTATTGGACAAACATGAGCTAGCCTGGCGATAGCGAAAGGAATTAATCTAAGCATAAAATTGTTAATGAGCCTACATATGTCATTCTACAACGAAGAGCATTCTGTTGATTGTAAGCTTTGTGTACTTTCGATTGAGTTTCATTGTGATTATCCGCAATTGCGCAATTTACAAGATGATGCTGATGGGACGCAGGTCTTCTGGGTAAGAAATAGATTAAATGCAATCACTCGCGCTTCTTCAAACAAAAAAAAATGCTTAAGCAATAAAATGCCACGAGAATCGCAATAAAACAGCAATTTTACACTTTTACCTCATTATGAAAACTGTGCATTCGCACACATTAGCAAGCCAGTTATGTAGATGATGGAGAGGGCTTAGAAAAATTCATTAATCGACAAAGAAACATTTTTATAAAAAAACATCACGACAAATACTTTACAAATACACAGCCAAATATGCTCAGAACCGGCAAATCACGATTACATTTCGTTCTATCTTCTTGAAATTACAACGGGAAAGCCGAGCGACGGTCTGAGTATGATTTCCGGCAGTGGAATGTTGTCCTCATGTGCGATATCTGTCCTAATCGAGTATCGGCGGAAAAACCACGAAAGAACGGTTTTCTCTTCGAGCAGAGCGAATTTTTGGCCTGGAAAGTTTTTTTTGCACTATGTCTTCTTGCAATCGCGAATCTCACCTATACAATTTCGGGGACCTGCACTGAATGGAATGAACGCGTACGAATGTCGATTCAGCATGTTTTCTTCGCTGAACCGTTCTGGATCATAAATCTCAGGGTTTTTATAGATCTAAAAAAGAAACAGTTTGATATGCGCTACTCAACTGTTGCTGAAAGGAATTTCTTTGAAGTCTCTTTTTGTAGCAGGCGATTGCGCAAGTGAATTCAATTCATCAGCGCTGATTGCAATGTGACTGATTCTGGTCGAAAACTAGGTAACCGAGAGTTAATCTGTAAATTCCGCACGAACGGCGAACGCATTCTTGTCCCATTTAACGCTCTTCACCTTCAACCGGTTTTTCAACTGACCATTGGATTGCTGTGCACCATGAAGGGGGTGACCATCACCGAGCATCCTTTGGGAAGCACATTTCCCTCTAAAACACAGAAGTTACCGAGCATAACCAGAGTACAATATGCTCGTGATGTATAGAAAAATCAGCGAAATTCACAGAAGTTCACCGATGTCCTCGTCGCATCACCTTGGTAAAGGACAATTCTGAATTCAGGAGATACATTTGACTCATCTAGGCGAGGCGAATCTTCTAATATATGGTGGGCAAAAGGGGGTCAATCTTCATATATTCTAGCCGAGGGTTACTCAGTATGTAATGATTGAGCACAATAAGTAACCTACAACTGAGCTCATAAATGGGGTGGAAAAAACGGGGTGCGGCGTATTATAGGCGGCGGAACCGTCGAAAAGTCAAAAAAATTATTTTTAAGTTGTTATGCGATTGTGACGGTTTCGCCGCGATTTTTCTAATGCAAATCTCCTAAAATCTCCCAACAAAGTGAATTTTGTAAAAAATTGTTATGTCTTTCCAATCATTATGATGTCGTCATTTCAAAAATACAGACAGAAATCCGAAATTCCTTTTTTTAAAATAAGTTACGACGATGCGACGGTTTTGTCTTTGGCAATTCCGTCGCGATAGTGCTGATTCCCTTGAGGACATATTTTATGTTTTTCTGATTCCTTGTGCCAGTAGCTTTCCAAAAATGACAGAAAAACTCTAAAAATGATTTTGAACAAAGTTATGACATCTCGACGGTTCCGGCGCGGATAATACGCCGCATCTCGTTTTTTCCACCCGAGTTATGAGCTCAGTTGTATGGTATGCAAAAAATAAGAATTTATGCAAATTACCACCTATCGTGCACCTACCGCATCGTAATGGGCACTTTTATACACATCAGAAGATGCATATTGGAGTCAAACGGTGATTTAAATCCAGAATTTGTCCAATCTGAGCCAGGATATGGCGATGCGACGCGGATTTCGATGAACTTCGGTGAGAATTCGGCTTTTTTTGAGGATCTTCGAGCGTTATTGAAGCATGGAAAGCGAACCGATGTCGATATCGTTTTCAAGTTTCCTAGTGAAGAAAGGGACAGGGGGACGAAGCCGCAATGATTCCTTTATACAGTTTTCGGTGTACTTCATCATCTTCAGATCATCATTGGTGCAGCTTCTATCAGAATCACCTGAAAAGCCCGTTTACACACTCAGTAACAAAAAATTACTTTTATTACCAAAAATCTCGTCCAGCTCTTCCTGTACTTTCTTTAGACAATGGGGGTTATGTGCTAGAAACCACAATGTCCACCCCATGCTGGAAGCTGTGGTGTCATGACCTGAACCTTTTAGTTTTCTTGGGATTTTTCTGTGAACCGTGCTAGGACTTACCCTCAAACATGAATGTGTCAACCTCTTCTCGAATGTCTTCGTAAGTGAGGTTTCCCTCAGCTTGGACATCAAGGAGCAGGTCAAGAAATGCCTTTCTCTTGCCTGCGTCCACAGGAGTTTTCCCCTCCCTTTCGGAAAGTCTCTCATTGATTACCTAAAAGCTCTTTCGTCTCCCTACATCGACCGGCAAAAGCTTACTTACCTTTCTGGTAAAATCTGTGACGATATTCAAATGACGGTCGTACTCGAGCCCATAAGTTGACGCATACCTGAAAAGTTCGTTTAGTACCTGCATCAACCAAGATTTGCAGTTCGGGATACTACTGTTCATTACCACCAGTAACTGGTATAGTTCAAAATACGCCGGCAAGAAAGCTCTGAGACAATGAATCTCAGCGAAGTATTTGCTTCGGTATGAATACTAATTGAAACAAGATGCACACCTCTGGAAAGGCGCGTGTGAGCCCTACAAGATGATAGTAAAAATGGAAAAATCCGAAAACATCAGATTTTGCCGACTCAGATTTTCACCTCCTATAAACGTTTGAAGCTTTCTCATACTACACTGTATAATGCAATACCGCTCACATTTTTTGAAAAAAAGACGCGAATGTATGGACATGTATGGACATGTACGGACATGTCCATACATTCGCGTCTTTTTTTCAAAAAATGTGAGCGGTATTGTAGACAGTCTCACAAACATACATGCAATGCATGCAAACTTGCAACCACCTCCCTAGAGTCCTTCTACTTATATAAACACTAGCTGTCGTACCCGGCCTTGCCCGGGATAACACCACTTAGGGTTCACTGTCTTTGGATATATGTGACACTTAAAGCAGTAGTGTATCATTGAAGTTTGTTTGCAAAAATAAAAATAAAATGTGTACACTTTTACTCAACAGCATTGTCTCTCTTCTTTTTGAAACATGGAAGACGTGAAAAAACTTGAAGAGCAAGCATTGCGATATAGGTGGAAGAACGTTCGAATAATGTAGCGCCCATTGCTATCCTGAGGATCATTTTTCCTAGTACTTCACCGCTAATCGGTTATTCTGTTTTAACTCCCGCACTCTACCCTCCTCTCCCGTACTACGACAAAAGTAAGTGCTTCTTTGACTGTCCTTGCTTTAGAGAGCGAATACCTTTATAGCCAAAGCAACAGCCATTCTACCACGTTAAAGATATGTAATCCACAACTTGTGAGCCATTTGCATAACAGATTAATGAAAAAAACTCAAGGACTTCAGTCAATAAACAAAATTATGATGTAAGCTTTCAGATTGAGAGTCACGCTTATGCGGCTGGAATTCATGCCGGAGGTTCCAACGCTAGAGTGCGGCACGCAATTTGAGACAGCTTGTAACTTAGCGATTGGCTCACATCTGCATCAAAAAAGGCTTTGACTTGCGTTAACAACACTACTACCTCGCACCGCAAAAGATGCATCTCGCAGTTTTAGACAGAATATATAGGATCTACATCTGAACGCTTTCGACCTTGCTCTGATGAAGAAAGTTCACAATGGATCGTACTGCTCTTGTTTACATAAGTGAAGGAATGGTTCGGCAATAGCTGTTAAGCTTCATTCCCTTACTGAGAGTGCAACAAATCAATAAATCGATAGAAGGACCCAGCGAATTGTAGAAAAAGGTAGCCTATCTTTTGCGCCGTGGCTTGTTTATAGGGAAACAAAATTCAGCCTCTTTGGTTCACATACAAAGGAGTCTATAAGCCACAAACATCCTAACAAACACGGTACAGTGTTTGAGTTTTATATATATATAGATGATCAGATGATCTGGACATTTTCGACGACTCTGAGGAAATGTGGCTCAGTCTGATATGATAGGATAAGTTCCTTATTCGCAAGCAAGTTTTTGCTCAGCGAATGAAAACTTACCAAATTGCGGGAATCCACATCCATGGCATTCGTTCATGAAGAAACGCCAGTTCACTCATCCTTTGTACAGAGAACACGTAGGGATGATTATGGTTTTCCTGAGCGGATACATGACATCCCATTGCCGTTTCTGCAGTAAAAGAAACTTTTCTTTTCTTTTCCGCTTCGATAATATTGACTTGGGTCAAGGCAGGAATTCTTAACTGAGCATTTCTCAAAGAATTCAATACATTATTCTTTCGGATCTTCAGGGTTCAACTCTCCGATTCTCAGTGGCAGTGATGTTGTGACTTAGCCTATGTACCTTGGTCTAACTTGCTTCTTCTTAGAATTTGACCTACCACAAATGATATCCAAAGCACATCGTTTGACGTATGGAAAGATATCGAAGTGTTGCTTGCTGGCAGCTGCATCCTCCAACTGACAGACAAATTTCTGAAGAAAGATCTTATCAAAAACTTGCGTTCATCAAAATTGCTGCAGCCTGCAATCAACTCGATCACAGCATGTAAACAAGCTATCGTGAACTAACGAACCTTTGCTTGCTGGTCAAAAACGCCGATAAAATCGTTGAGAACTTTAAAGTGAAAAGATGGAGTCAGGATTTTGCGTCTCGCACGCCATTTCTCACCTAAATGAAACACTTTTTGTGCTGAATATGTGTCGTTTTCAAGCTATATGTACAAATAGCCTCTAATTCAGAGCATCAAATAAGCACATGAACATCTGCATCCACACTCATCTTTGATGACTTTTCCACCTCATACTCTATAACCTTTTTTATGGCAGATTTCGGCTACAACCAATTGCTAAAATTGTTCACTTTGAAACTTTTCATTCTTCCAGACCACAATCAGTTTGATAGAAAAATCTCTAGCATGGGATCAGGGCCCGGCATAGATCGTCTGGAAGCAGGCTGGACTTCGTTTTTGGAGCAAAAAGCAATGGAGATATCGTTTCTGACGATTCGAGGCCCAGCACCAAAAATAAGCGCCATTTTGTCAAACACAAGCTTTTCGGACAGGTTATCACACGATTGACATGCTCTATCGTGTGAGGCGAAAAGTGCGCGCGATTTGAAAGCAAGGCTAAAATGAACAAATTGCTTGTTTACAGCGCACACAGAAGCATATGACACCGGAATTGAACTGTATGTATATTAAATTATTTGCGAAAGGATTATGTAAAAAAAATTGAAAACTTATGTGAAGTAATACCTTTTCCAAAATTAGATCGTCTCCAGACGGCCACCAGACGATCTGAGATGGTCTGGAGCATATATTTTCGTCCCTTCACATAAGTTTCGGATTTTAGCATGGGCGGATTCCCCGGTTAAACATCTATCCCTAAGCATGAAGACATTTTCATATTATTGCCTTTCCTTTATTTTTTGCCTTCATTTCTTCTCGCTTTGTTAAATATCGCGCGCTAATGCCAAAGTCTTGCGCATGCGTAGTATCAGCTCCAATTTGGTTTTTCACTCTTATCTTACGTTTTATCTTTCAGACTAGTAAGTCTTTCTTGTTTTCATCTTCTACTAAGCAAATAGGTCAAAGGGGACTTCGTAAAACTTCCGAAAGTCAGGGGAGATTTCGTTTTCAGAAACCCTAGAAACTGACTCGTGCCGGGCCCTGCATGGGATTCTGAGAAGACTCCACATGGGATTTTGGCGCTACTCAAAAATGATGTAAAAAAGGAAGTAATTTTTTTTGATTGATAGAGCGTTCAAGTTTATGATAAAAAAGCTTAGCGAATGATGGAGAAATGGACATTATAAACTCTAAGTTAAAAAGGCAAATTAATCTAATCAAGGAGTCTAATCACTTTTCCAAGAAAGTAGTGTGTTTTGTGTGACCACACAGTTTCACCCGGTCTCTCAATTATCTCAACAGTACCTGTGGAAATGAGCAAACCAGTGCCGAGCCATGGCATGAGGATGTTGTACTCTTCACCCTTCGTTATTATATCGGTACGTTCCAAGACCAGCTACAATATTCTCATCGCAATATCTGTCTATTATCTAAGTGTAAATTCTTACTTTCGCAGTTTCCGCAGTGAGGCAACCAATCATAGGTCTTGTACCTAACCAAAATCTTATCAACCCGTGCCCTTGACCGGCATAATAGTTGCCCCATTCTCTCATTTGTATGGACAAACCTGAAATAAGAACGATATAACGAGTCTATGTATATATATGTTCCTTAAGTGGGTACCGAGGGAAAGCGGGGAGGGGGCGCCCCCCCCCCCCCAAGACCTTGTAAAAAACTTTTTTCGGTGGCGTAAATGCCGCGACTCCCCCTTTTTTTGAGATTTTGGGATCAGGGCCCGCAAAAAATTTGAGAGGCATCCCAAAATTTTTTTCGGAGTGCGTTGTTAACCCCAGGCACCTTCATCCGAAAAAGTTTGTACCCCCTCCCCCCCCCCCCCCGAACGGAAATTCTGGGTACGCCACTGGTTCCTTATGGTTAGTTACACGTTGTCAACGATCGGCTCTTTATGTCAGTTTGATCCAATCGAGTTCTATGATTTGTTTTAACTCACTTGCTCCCCCAAGAAAGTGGAAAAAAGATGGATTTGCTAAATACCATTTCGAATTTATAAAGCAAAAAAGTGTCTTGTTTTCTTTCTCCTTTTTCTTGCAATTAAAATTACAATACAGTGAAATCACAAAGGAAAATTGTCAAAGTCAGGAATTCTGTAGTTACATATCTAAATCAATCGAGTGGCGAAACAACGTGAAACTAAGCCTGAAAGTCCTTTCTTTTTGTTGTTTACACAAACCTGAATAAAAAAAATCCAATTTTTCTGGAGACTTTGTACTAGCGTGCTTACTAATAGAGTGTACATGCGCAGCGCATGCGTAAGTCTCTCATCCTTGAGATCAAGGATGAGAGAATTACGCATGCGCTTCTTCATGGGTAGGACAAAACGCTGATGAAAAGGTCACAGAAAATTGAAGATGGGCTACAGAAGGTCGTCATCTTCATACTACAATTGAGAGCGCATTCTTTAGGACTTAGAAACAAGAAGGATATAACTCCGTTGGAAATAGAGCGCAAAGAAAGAATATTGGTTGGAATAGCTTACGATCAAGCAAGTTTGGCAAACAAAGGAGGAAACACATACTTGTAAGTCAAAAAAGATACGCGAAAGTTCAACTGCATTAAGAAAGAGGGCCAAGAGTAAACTGGAAATAGATTCAATGTGAGAAAGTTTCTGGGAAATGTTCTGCCCTTCAGGCAACATAAATGAATTACCACGGTCCTGTTTCTTCCACGTTCTGCGGACATACAGAAAAATGCCTACGAAGAAATAATAGAAATAATATATAATAGAAATAAGAAATACATATTTCTAAACCTTAATTTTGCTGTTGCTTCGTAGCAACTATACTTCAATCACTCACAGTTGACATTGTTAAAGAGATTCACCTGCAATATTCCATTTGAACTGCCAAGTGGTGCCAAACACAGGTATAGAATAAGGTCCTGGAATTTTGTCAACGCATTGAATGACCCGTATTCGTTCTTGAATCAGCAAATACATCTTCTTCCAGTACAGTATGAAGAAGATCACGAACGCAGCAGCAAGGATCGGAGCTAGAGCCATGCTGAAATTCTTGTCATGATCGTATTACGATGAGCTTCAAATCACCAATGATCAAAGTACTCAGACAATCGACGGGACCCCTCCGCCGGACCCTCCGAAACTGCCAGAGTCGCGCCGGACCCAGTTGACCAATGAGAGAAGGGCAAATGGGCGGTCCATCGCGGTGACATCACTGGCAGGCAAATGGGAGGCTTCTCCGGCCCTGCTGCAAAGGTCCGCCATTTCTCCGGCGCGACTCTGCCAGATTTGGCGGACTCCGCGCCGGAGAAATTTGCGCGGCGCGCGTCCGCCAAATTTGGAAGAGCCGCGCCGGAGAAAATGGGAGGGGTCCGGAGCAGAAATGGGAGGCCTCCGGAGCAGAAAATGGGAGGTATCCGGAGCAGAAAATGGGAGGTATCCGAAGCAGAAATGGGAAGTATCCGGAGCAGAAAATGGGAGGGCTCCGCCGGACAAATGGGAGACCCACCGCTGGGGAAACGCCGCGACCCTGCCATTTCTCCGGCGGAGGGGTCCTATCCGCTGTCTGAGTAAATCTGCCAACAGATATAGAGCGCAGGGCGATGGAGAGCTTGCTCTATTAGAAAAATAAAACAATTCATATAACAGTTTTTACGACCATTCTCGTAAAGAAGCGTTCTGCATTAAATCCTGATGTTCGCTATGTTTTTAGAAGGGAACTTCCTCCTACCATTATCAATGGGCAAATCTTGTACAGTCTTTGCTATTTGTTTTTATGGTTATTTGTAACCATAAAAATAAAGGAAACGCGTAAAACCCGAAAATGATGTCATGACAAAATTCGTGAAAATCTCATCGTGAAGTATATAAGCTTAGTGAGTTTCCAAATCTCTATAGAAACATGGATCAAAGGCTATAAAGTTAGCACCTGCGTGTGATTATGATTCGGAATGCAGTACTTCGCTATCTATGGCATAACTTGTGAGTTTTGAAAACGAAAAGGTGTCCTGCTTGAACTGGATATGTTACCAGTTATGTTGAATAAGATTTTTATTATCTTTTCCAAATTCTTTGTATCGTAGCAGAGACTACCTAGTTATGGTAGCATCTACCTGTGAACTGTATCGTAAGTGTAGCATCAAAAGACCGTTAAGAAATGCTTGAAACACTTCAAGCTCGATTGTTTATGCATTTATGCATAGCTTTGTGACTCATATTTGTCTTCTGTAGCCGAAAATAAGAATTTCAAGACGTTTTGCTAGTCAAGCTAACGTTTTGGTGCGCGAAATAAAAGAGAATCCCATATATTTTATATACCATATGTATCATGAAGAGCTCTTTTGAATGGCATGTCACTTGCTTTATAATAAGGGTACATCACCGCAAGATTGAGAGATACCCTTTAATTCATCGGGATTGGCGTCTGGAAGTCGACCGCTTGCACCCGCGACGCAATCTGCATACTCTCACAAGCGTGCTCTCTCATCATCTCCTACTCAGACAATCGCAGACGACTTCCGGAAACTGAACTTAATTTTCGGGGGACACTCCTACTGGAGCTACCAAGTAGGGCGGGGCCCACGCCACACCGCCCACACACGACCCAATAGGAGCGTCCCTCGAAAGTTTTAGAAATTCAGTTTGAACCGGAAGTCGTTTGCGATTGTCTGAGTGGCCTTGATTAGGCCTCGAAGCCCTGCCTTCCAGCCGCCGATCCTCTTGAATCGAAAGGTATTAAAAATACCCTGTTCAAGCTATTGGCGGAGGCGAAGATCGCTTATGTAAGCGACGTTTGGATTGCAGCCTGTTGTTGTTTGATTATTTGCTTATTATATAATTTTTATATTCATGAAAAAATCTTCTATTTCTTTTTTACATACCAGAGGAGGTTTGCGCCAAGAGTCCATATTTACAAGTGTTCCTCAGTTTTTTATTTCGTTTTAGTTACAAAAATAGCTAATAAAACACAAAGAATTCAGCCTTCTTGCATTTCTACAAAAACGGAAAAAAACGATTTGACTTTCGCTCAACGTCCAGGGCAGGGCTCGGCACGAGGTGGCTTACAAGCAAGCTGGGTATCGTTTTTGGGACGAAAAGCAAAGGGGGTTTCGTTTTTGTGACCGAAGAGAGACGCAATTGGCGACTTGGCGACGTTTTTTTTTTCTTTTTTTTAGTCGACGTTTCGTTTTTTGGGGGATTTTGGGGAATTTTTCAGGTTTTTAGAGGAAATTTGGTTGAGGGTCAAAGGGGGCTTCCTAAAATTTCCCAAAAGTCAAGGGGGACTTCGTTTTTTCCATTTTCATCTAGCCACCTCGTGCCGAGCCCTGGTCCAGGGCCTAAAAGAAACCCACACTTGTTGTGTCTTTTGAGCCGCAAAAAGGTACCTCTCCTCTGTGTTTTGTTCCAAAACGATATCGAGCTTGCTTACAAGCCAAGCCACCTATGCCCAGCCCTGTCAACGTCTCATAGTATCGCCAAGATTTGTCATAAACCTGCATCAAGTATCATTGGATAGGAAAACTCGAAGAATTTCGAAAGCATTTCATTGAAGTGCGGTGAGTAAAATAAAGAAAAAAAAGAAAAGGGTCAGGATCTACTGGGCAACCCCATATTTCCCAACTAAATATGACGCTTAATCATGATTTGAGCACATCTCATTTCGTTATGAAATAAGCCATGTGGTTTCCAAATTCTACCAAAAGGAGATGTTGTGGTTACAAAATCGCAAACAATAAATTGCTCTCGCTCTACGGATGCATGGAGGATGTTTAGTGAATAACTGCCAAATAGGTTCTGTTTGCACTACTTTTCCCCAGGCTGCAGCTCATCACCTCATGCTCAGCTACAATGTAGCTGTTATCATTTCCACTGTGTTCAAATTGGGTAAGCAATGAGGTGGTCTCAGGGATATCAGGTATGGAAAAAGCATTGTCCTTATTCAGTACGAAGGAGACTTTAAGTCAAAAATTGCATGAAGGGATAAACATTAGCCTTCGGCTAGAAGAGACCACCGTAAGCGATGGAAGAGAGCAAAAAGATTCATTCCCTCAAATCAGTTACAGGATGTTCCAGGAAAGGACACTTTGATCGTTAATAATTCTTAATAACTCCTTGACTTCAAAGTCTTTCGCTTTTCAGGTACCATTCTGCAGGCTGCTTTAAGTGGATTTACAGTATGGAGCGACCAAACTTCTTCATTACTGTAAAAATACAGTATAAATTTTTAGAAGGATTGAAGCGACTAGGACTCGCGCTTCAGAAAAAAACTAAGCAACATTTCTTATACTAGGCTAATCAAAATCTCTGATTCTAATCATGGAATTTGCACCTCATAGTATACCGTAACACCTCTCCTCCAATGCTGCTCAAGTATGCGATTACACCATCAAGAAGCTGAGAAAACCTGTAAAAGTCGTGTGATGAGATTCTCTCCCCTCTATCCTTTATGAGAAGTTTATAGCTTTTTTGAAATGGTGATCTGAACGTATACGATAAATTAGATATCTTTATCAGTGTATGTAATGTCAAAATTGTAGATCTGTAGTTTGATGAATGATTTGTAAAGGAATAAAGATAGAAATTTATAGCACTTGTCTAAAACTATTTTCGTTATGCGGTTGAGTACGTATTAACAAAAGAACATTCTTTGGGCATATATATTAAACAACAACAAAATGCTCTTATAACCTTAAGCTTTTGAAAATTATGGGAACACGGACGACCAAAAAAGGTAAGACGAAGATTCAAAGAACAGCACTACTTAGCTCAATTTTCGCGTTATCTACAGCGATCAGTGTTTGGGCAATAAACTTTTCGAGAAAACAGCTAGACCGTATAGTGATAAGCAGCCATCATTTGGAAGCAAACCGTGTGGAGAAGCAAACTGTAGTCTAGTTTGAACAAAGATAAGGTTCCATTTTGGGTCTGACGCTGGTCTGCTACCGATCATATGCTTGCTCACTGGCGTGTCCTAGCACTGTAACCAAACTACATAAAAACAGAAGCATTTCGGAGCAACGAAAGTGCATCTTCAATGTACAAATTTGACCACTTGGATGGACAACTTTCTGATTAGGTTTAGGGCATCGAACCAATAGGTGTGTGTATACTCTGTAATTATAGTATGTTTTCAAGCAGAATATACGCTTGAGGCCCTGGGACTCGCGATTTCGGTCTTCACACGATTTGGCCAATTGTCAAATCCTTTCGAACCCAACACTCGTAGACCTTGAATGCTTGGTGTATTCAACTTTTGTGAGTCGATAAAATGTGCTATTTTCAGTGTGCTCAAATAAGTTTGCGACGATTTGTAAGAAACTGTATTGTCAATCGAGTCGCGACTGAAATCGCGTGAGGTATGCCCGGGGCCTAATAGTTTACATTATGTCAACTTTTCCCAAGAATTTTCTCCAGAAGACTTGAGGTGGAACAATGCTCAAATTTTTTTGAGATGTGAAATGACATGTACTTCTGAATAAAAAAAATTATGTTCGTATACATCTTACCTTCAGATTTAGTGAAATATCAATGTGTTAAGTTATAAGTTCGTGTGTTTCAATCAGCCTTTCCAGCTTCCATATGTAGATGTGACTTATTTTGTCATTTCGGAAAAATGCACTAGATATCGCTGCTTTCAGAACGATTTTACATGTTCCATCGTTAAAGCGAAGTGCGACCCGGCAAATAACTATATGTCTGGTCATTCAAGCTGAAGTGAAGCACTTAACTAGTTCAAAACTACGCAGATATAATGCAAGATTCACCATTTCCTCGTCATTTGTTTTATGATTTTGCTAGCTTTCCGGTCCTCCTCCACATAGCCTGTTCACTGCCCTTAGAACGTTAGAGATTTTTGATGATTCTTCGTCTCTTGAAAACCTGCTACGCGAAAAATCAAAGGTCCATTCGATTTAAGCAGATTGTCACCTACCTTTGAGATCTGCTGCGTCGATAGTTCCATCCTTCTGCAAAAATCCCATCACCTTCTCCCGTGCGTTCGACAGGCCACCATGTTGTGCCATCAAGAAGTAATGAAGTTTGTG